ATTATAAAAATGAGTGATGAGGATTTAGAAAAGTTGGGGATTACTGACCATCTAACGAGATCAACATTAGGAGCACATTTTTGGGTTATTCAAGTTGACCATGTAAATTTTTTTAAATTTTAATTTATTTTATCAATTCTTCTTTAGTATTGTATTTTAAAATTACACTTTAAGAAAGGACTTTAACAACTATAAAAGGCTATATTTAGAAGATACACTTTTAGGAATAAATCGATTGTAATATTAATTATGATTTTTTAGGCAATAAAGTTTGGATTACCTATACCAAAAAAAAATTTTGTCAGGGATTGGAAACAATTATATGGGAAAGAAGTTTTAGAAGGTATGTAAAATTATAAAAATTGAATTGATTTGTTAAAATCATTTATAATTAAAACATTATTATTCCTTATTTAGATTTTTCTGCATACTTGGACTTAATTAGAATGAAACGATTAGCTCCATTATTTAAAAATAAAAAATTTGAAGATATTTTGGAAATGAATTCTCAAGATTTAAAAGGTTTGGGTGTTGAATTGGCAAAAGAAAGGATTAAATTGATCAAGAATTTTTGGCGTATTAAACGCAGAATTGTATGTAGTTCTCTTTTGGTGCTGAATTTATCTATTTATTTTATTACTATTACTGTTATTTGAAATAATATTGATTGGTTTTTTATACCCAATTAATCATAGTTCTTTGAAAATATAATCAAGCGAATTGAAAATCAAGATTCAAATAAATCTGAATAAAAGTGAAGCTTAGAATAATAATGATCTTATTCTAAGCTAAAGTCTTTATATGCTTACTAATTTTAAATTTGTGAATTAATAAGGTCGGTTATAAATTGTTGGTTCATGATTGATTGACTACAGTCGACAAATGGCATTTAACCTGAATACCTCGCAAAAAATGCGCTGCAAAAAAATTAGTCAAAAATTACATAACCGTTAAACAAGTGAAAATATAAATCTAGCATCTCCAGTTTAAAACATTTCGGACGTTATTTAAGAATAAAAATTTCGTTATAAAAATTCGTGCATTTGGATTAGAACTAAGATTTACTATAAGGTTAGAAAAATCAAAATTTCACGAAAAAAAATTTATTAGTACTCTCATTGACAAGATTTTAAATTGAAAATAGAGGCTGGAACCAGTTT